AACTGAGAATCAAGAAGATTTTGTACCAGCACGTTTAAAAAAAAAACAACTCTTGACCTCATTAGCCAGAATTCCAATTTACATCAGCTGCACCTACGATTCTGCAGAACAACTGTGCCTGTTGTTAGCACAAGGCCAGAATTTGAACATAAGACTGTCTGCATTTCAAATATCAAACAACAATTTATACTTGTTGCTATCAAAAACACTTCCTGGTAACATTCATCTGTACCTTTTTAGAAGCGTCATGTGCATTTTGAAAAAAAAAAAAAAGAAGAAACAGCAGCATTGCTGCTGAATGCAGCTCTGTGGCACCAAAGGAAGTAAATCCTCAATGATTACACAGGCCTTACAATCCTTCTTAAACACGGGATTTGCTGGGAAAAGGGGAAGCAATAAACAGTTAAGAGCAGCCCGTGAATGGCAACCGCCAACTGACCTCTGCTTCACCTTTTTCTTTCAAATGATTTCTGTTGATTATACTTACTAAATATTCACATTTTCAAAGCATGTTTTGATAATCTGAATGTTACAAAACCAAGTAGTAATGTACTGTCTGCTGTATTTAAACTAAATATGTCTCATAACACAGTATACAGCTTTACTGTTCCTTTAATACCCTGTCTATTATTGCACTTTTCTGATGTTAAACCAACTTCTACATGCACGGCTGGTGTAAATAGCCACAGGACATGCTGTTGTGTTTAGGTCCATGTCGAAGTGCGTTCTTTTAAGTCTATACAAGTTGCTATCTTTTAATAATTGTTACTAATATCTTTCATGATTAATAAAAAACCACAACGCTGCTTATGTAACTCTTAAGGTAGTTTTATACTTTTGACATACAATATTCTGTAACGATTCCAAAGATACCTAGGATATAACTGATACATCCCCATCATCTCCATCACTATTGCAACTACATTAATCTTAGCTCAAATTACGCTAAATTCTCCTCCATCAATCAAATAGGTTTTAAGGACTCTGTAGCTGAAGATTGGCCTCTTAGATAGATGTTGGGATGAAAAGAAAATATAGGACAAAAGGAAGGTAAGCTTTATTTTATTTTTAGATTATTATACTTCATTTTCATGCTTTGTTCCATCACTGCACTATTTCCACTAAGTGAGGAAAAAAGGAAAAAGGGAACAGACGCACAAAAATCAAGGAGCAAGTCAACCAGGAAAGAATGAGAGCACAATGAATAACGATAACGCATTCCACTAGTTAAAGACTTTTCTAACACTCATGTAAAAAATTCTTCATTAAAGCTAACACCTCAACATTGCAGCAAGCAAAGAGTGAATGTAAAGAAAGTTCAGGTTATCACATTTTAAAAAAACAGCCCTAGTATACTTCAGCCTTCTCTTTCATCAGCATCACCTCAGAGTTTGCCTCTGACTGACTGCTCCTTGGCAGCATAGACACAAAAAACAGACAAAGACCAAAAACATTTTTCCATGCGTTCTTCAGTAGCTTCTAGCTTCATTTTTCTTTCAAAGAAAAAACAAGTTTACTGACTGCAAACTACCTGCTAGGCAGCAAAGCAATTTGAAAGCATTTTGTATTGCTATTGATATATTTTGTTACCCAATTACAATGGTTCAAATCAGAGCCTAGACTGACTGTGCAGGATTTTAGTGAATATATTTCAAGATACCTTGAAGCCACCTACAGCAAATGAATTCACTTTAGTCCTTTAGATATCCAGGTTTATTTTGTTTTTTTTTGGTTTTTTTTGGTTTTGGTTTTTTTTTTTTTTATAATGCATAAATAGGCTAAATTGTAACATGGTTTATAAGAATTATTAAATTCTTATTAAATTTATAAAAAAATCACTAGCATCTATGTACCTAATTGAATTATGGAAGGCAAAAGAACTCAACTGTCGTTGCTCTTTCAGACACCTAACCATTTAACTTCTCAGTCAGGAACAACTCAACAATTAACTTTGCTACTAGTCTACAGCATAAAAATCTCACCTAAGCCTTTCTACATTTGGGTATTTTCAGGAATCATGTACCTACAGACTTCTCCACACAACAGAAAATCTTTGAACACCAAAAATGTGTTAAAAAGCTATTCCAAACAGAACGTGTAACTAATTCCCCTGTCCAACCTCTAAGATTGCTATTTTACTCAAAAAGGAAATCAACATTTAAAATAATAATAATGCTTTTTCTTCCTACTGATGCTTAAACAACTTATTAAGGGTATGCATAGAACACACTGTAACAACTTCTCTGAACCACTGAGCTCAAAAGTACAAGAACGTGGATCAAACAATCTGACGCTACACGATACTGCAAGAGAGTGCATTTGTTTGCAATAGCATGAGAATAAAAGTCTGGGGGGGGCAGGAGGAGAATGGAGAAGAGGAAGCAGAGCTGAGAGGGAATCAGTAGCATGTTTGGTATGAGCACAAAAGTTTTTTTCAAATGCATCTTTCCCTTAGTACTGCTTGACACATCTGTCCTTTTTCCTGAAAACTTTTAAGCTCTCTCTTAGGGATGTCAGTTCTATTAAAGCAAGTATTATGGACATACAAGAATGAAAGGCACCTTCTATTTGATGAGCATGGAAAACACAATTACAGCCAGCTATAAACCTGCCTGGTCAGTCTTTTTTTTTAAGTGTTCATTAGATGAAGATAGATCTACCCTTTTAATTCAGACTCATTGCATACTAAGTACAAGTTAATAACTACTTAGGTCTTCAATCCCTGACAGAGTTACACATGCAGATTATTCTGAGGAGAGATAAAGACAGAGAGAAAAAACAGCCATCAAGTTAATCATGACCAAAAATCATTTCCATCTAAGCCTGAGTGTCTGATGAAGTTTGTTTCAGGATCATTTGGCATAGTTGTTTATAGTGTCCACAAACATATTAGAGCTATAGAAAGCTTTGATGCATGGACACTACATCACCAGGCATGGCATCATAGCAGTACCTCTTCTCAGTTTCTGACTCTGTCAGTTTTTGCCGTAGATTTCAGAACAGCAAACTAAACTTGGCTGAGGATAATCAAAAATTCATAAGTCCACACATCATCTTCCATAATAAAAGATGAGATCAGTCTGTCAGTACCATCATGCAGTGGAGAATGGACACAATCTTCTGCCTCTTGTGTACTGTGATGGGAGCTGCTAGCAAATCTGCAGAGGCTAGCACTGCTGGCAATAACAGATATTTCAAAGACAGATCAAATCTCACCTCAAAAGCATGCAGAGATGTCCTTGCAGAAGCTTTTTGAGCACAGATGCTCTACTCAGTGGGGTATCCCCTTTCTGTAGATTCCCACGTCTGACTCCTTGCAATGCATTTCCCTTTCCTCCAAACACAGACTTCAACTTAAGACACACTGTAATTCTCAGACTCTGTGGTGTTTCTCTTTATTTAAATTTACTATTGATTTTGTGCCTGTTGTTTTATTTTTGTATTTACAAAGTATTCTGTAGAAATTGGATTTTCCACAGAATCATGGAAAGTTGCACACTCAAAAGCCACACGTGAAAATGCTTCAATCTCCACCAAAGCCTCAGTATTCTAATGTCACTCCATAAAAACTGTAGGCTACAATCACCAGTGTGCCTTCAGAAAGTCAGCATAACATGAGTCACACTTGAATGCATCTTCATGGAATCTTGCCTTACTTTTCTAATGAACTAGGGTATTTTAGATCAGATACTGTTTATATTAACATGCTTACTATTTACAGAAAGAAAGCAAATAAGGTTAGGAACCATGCACAGGTAATAGTCACCTTGCTTGCACTGATACCTTATCAGCAGTCATAGAAAATAAGGCCTTAATGTTACAAATGCTGCACCAAGCCCAATTCACTTCAGTGGATTCAATAGAAACACAAAAGCCCATCTGTGCTCACTGCAGAAACAGCACTGAGTATGTTAAGCTTGATCTTATCATCAAGTTTAATTAGAATCACTGGGACTTAGCATAGGTGTAAAGATCCATCATGTTGATCTACTTGTAGGATCATAGCCTTAACGTAAAGACATACAGCATTTTGTTATTACTTCAAATAATCCAAGTTGATCTCCTTTAAAGAAATAAGGTCTGATCTTCCAGGTGGTTCTGCACAGGTAGGACACATTCTTTCCACAAACATTAACTGTCATTCATAAGTCAGAATTTCTCCTCATAAGAGTAGGTAAGAACAGGAATTATTCTCCTTCCCCTCCAGCACTCTTTTCTCACTCACTGCAAGTCATCCCAGGATTCAAAATTAATAAAATAGGTAATGTTTGTTGCACTCCACTCCTCAAGGCATCTGTCTACATTGCTGGGTGATAATATGCTACATCTAGCCATGGGTAATAGGTATGTAAATCCAGAAAGCAATTTTTAACTATAAAGTGCACCACAATTGGTAGCAGATATATGATTATGTCATAGTAACTCAGTCAAAAATGTTAACATTAGCTATGTAATTAAGAGTATTAAATGAATAGTTTAGGAAAACACAAAATTTGCAAGCAGGCACCAGAAGAGCTAAATAAACTTACATAGTCGCTTTAGTTTTATCTTTGGAAACATCCTCTTGACTGTCAGTAGTACATCAGCAATAGCCTCAACTTCTTGTGCTCTCTCTCAGGAGGTTGGGTTTTGTATGTTTGTGTGTGTGTTTCTTTTTGTTTCTCTTGTTTTGTTTATTAGATTTTTTTTTAATATGAAATTCTCTTTGAGAAATTACCCATTCAGATTAACTTTTAAGAAATACTGTGGAAAAATGAGTTTTCAATAAAAGAAAAATTTTCAAGCTAAACACACTAAAATTACCCACACCTTTGATATTTTTCCCGATTTAGCATTTTCTTTAGTAAATATCAGCAAGGCCTGGTCTAAAGAAGATTATGATATTGAGCTCTTTTTTTAATCCAACCTCAACACATTTCCTTCTCAATTCATTTCAGAATTATTATTGGAAGCTCTTGAAAAAAAGCATTCTCCTATCTTCATAGTTATCCACGAAGCAAAATAAGAAGGTGAAAAGTAGAAATTAAAAGAAAAAGTTGTGTACATATGTTCATCTCATTTTTCCCATGTCTGTTATCTCCAGGATTTTATAGGGTTTTCAGAGGATCCAATTACAACTTAGAATAACAAATGTTAAAATACAAGCGTAATGTTTGTATGTTTACAAGTCAGGGAGAACAAATGCCAACATTTGTAAAGACAACTGAAGAATGAAAAAGAAAAAAACAACAACCCTGAAAGCTAACACCAGGTAGTCCATTTCTTTTATACACTTACCTTCATTTCTAAGCAAAAGAATTTAGAGAAAATGCTCGCCTAAATTAGGCTTGTACTGTGAATTTTAGTATTCCCACTTTACAGGTGAAGAGTGGGAGAAGAAGGGATGGAAAAGAATTTTCTTTAACAGGTATCAATATTGCTTGCAAACCTAATTAATTCTTCCCCTATCAAAAAAAAAAGTTCATTAATTTCTAGCTCTTACTTTGTGCCTAAAAATTTTGGTGCTAGGCTAAAACTGCTGTACCCTCACTCACCTAACAGATGGATCTCATTTCTTCTTTGATGTCAACCACACCATCATGTTTATACACTGTTTTCCCTCTAGAATACATCACTGATTTAAACAGGCAAGACAAATCAGAAGCTTAAAGAAAAGCTTTTTTTCCTGGTAGCGTCTTGATGTCAATAAGTATAATAATATAATGATTACACGTCTGCTGTTCTTCACATATCCTCCATCCCAATTTCTACATGCATCACTCAGTGAAATTAGGCTCTCCCTTTCACGATATAGAGGACAAGTTAGACCTAATCTAAAAAATATCTTGTAATTTGCTTACAGTATCCTTGATATTTTGCTAACGAGTTCTGTAATGTGCCCAAGGATTCATAAGCTACACTCGTGTAGTGGAAATGCTAAGTCACAGCCTGAACCAGTGATTGAGCACCTGGTGGGGAGGAAGGGCCAACCAGTGGAGCTCAGCTGCATGCAATGCTCCTGAGTGACCAGAAGGATTGGAGCCAGGATCTGGTCCTTCCCAGACCTCATTTAAGGGTGGGCAGTGGAGGTGACAGCATCTCTTGCTGGTGATCCCTGTTTACCTAAGGCCCTCCAAAGGTAAGTAGCTCTTTCCCTTCAATTCTGCATCCATGGCTTCTGTATTTGGGCTTGTTCTCATTTGTTATAGCCAAAGACTTTGCTGCTCTACTATTATTGCAGTATTTTCCATTCCATTATAGTATTACACTTTGTAATGCATAAAACACTGGAAGTCATACCAATTTACTCTTCCAGTTCTTTGGGACAAAGGTTTTAATAAAACAACCTGACAATAAGAAATAATGGAATGTAACTTAGCCAAGGGTACTGTCATCCCTTTTTGTTCATTTTGCTTTTCCAGCATGATAATTGAAGGGATGATCCAACTGAAAAAGTGCTAAAGAAAAAGCATTCAGACATCTTAAGGCAAAGGCTGAACTCAGGATTCCACATAATGCTAAATTCATGGACTTACGTACTTAGCTGCTTTCTATTTTGAGACTCACTTCGAATGTTCTCTCTTGCTCAGTAATTCACTGTCAGAGTACTTAAATGCAGAGCTACAGCTTTCCAGCAATGCCTTGTATTTTCTGGAATCTGGAGGAAGAATGATTTAATTATCAGAAATACAGCTAATAATGTTTTGTTCCTTTTTCAATTCTTGTACCAATACACTTCTATCACAGAATCCAAGACCTTATCCTTACAAGTAGTATAAATTACACTGGGAATATAAAAAAAAAGTTCATAGGCCCTGTCTTGACAGGGATAACTATGTCTAGCCTTCACTCAATGGGCAGTCTACACTGAGCATGACCTAAATCAGCTGTCTGTTTCAGACGCTTTCATAGTTTATCAACTGTTGACACCTACTCATACAGCTGCAAGTTTTCTTTGAGGTACTCTTTGTTTCCTTCTGACCACGCCTTACAAAGCATGCACATAGACTCCTTCTCTTCCTCTGCAATAGCAAGTAAGGGACCACATGTGTGATGACAAGTACATGAAGTGATTAAGGTAGAATAATGCAGTAATTTCTGATTTCTTGTATATATCTTTAAATACTTGTTCTCAAAAATAAGTCCAAGTAAATTTTAAAGCTTGGCATCACACTAGCATGCTCTAAAAGTATAACTTTCCCTGCTCCCCCACCTTGTTCCATGGTGCATCCAAAACTTCACTAAGCTTTTTGACTTCTGCCTGCTGATTTATGACCACTTCATATGAGTTACAGCAAAGCTACACTAGCACACATTTTGTTGGATAACTGGAACTCTGACTATGATAAAAATTGAGCTTTTATGTGTGGTGAAGGCAGAATAAGTAGGACTCTCCCACATAGCCTTTCTCACAATTGTGCTGTATGAACAACTTCTGAAATTCTTCTTTATACCTAAGATTTGAGTAAGGTACCTTGAAGCTCTTGATTACATAAAGATGTTTATATGATGCCAACAGGGTCAGAAATGTGACCTACATGACCTTCCAAGTTAGAATTCCTTCTGTAGATTAAAACTGCAATGTAAGTAAAAAATCACTCAAGAACCCAAACTGCGTGTGAGGAATTGCCGTTCACCACAGAAGACAGTTTTATTCAAGTGCTAACCCTGCTCCTGAGACAATTCCCAACTTAGCCTGGGATGGTGTATCTTCACCAGGTATACGTGACAGCAAGCAGTGAGCAAGACCAGTGTGACCTTGCATTAAAATTGTTTCCCCTGATTTATGAATGTTTTCAATATTCTTTGTAGAACTGTGACCATTAGCCAACTGGCAGGTAAAATTTTCCTCCTCTCTACTTTCTGCTTTTCATCTCAGCCTACAACTGCCTGGCAGCACAAAACAAATTAAAGCCATTAGTTCCACTGAACTAAGCCTGCATACAAACTTGTACATGTGCAAGCTTATGAATAATATCAATGCAGTGGAAAATATCTCACTTATGTAGAGATGTGCACTGTCAGAGTAGAAATACCTTAATTTTGCTTTTATGTAAAACTAACTCATGGAGACATCCATAGGCTTCTCCTGTCCTGCATGATAGACAGCACTTCAGGTTGCTGAGTTTGTGTGGCGCTCAGTGGAAGTATAGGAACACAAAACGTTTTGAATTTGCTTGTAGTAAATTGTTTGCTTCTTTTTGTCTTCTGATCCTTTTTTCCCTCCAGAATTGAACCTGGAGTTCTGCAGCAAACAGACCTCGCTGGGCCCGCAGCCACACAGCGATGCACTGAAATGAACACAGCAAGCACGAGCGCTTGCATGAAGATGCACCTACAGAAAATACCTCAACTCGTACGAGCCTGGCAGGAACGGCATAGGTGAAAACAGTTGTAATTACTTCCACGCGGCGTTTTGCATGAGCTCAATTAGCCCAGTGTAACGTCTGAAATGAGGGTGGAACGCGAACGCACGTGTGCGTACAGAGCGGGCAGCAAAAGCGCTCACGAACAGGTGGAACAACACGCAGGCAGGAAACCGAGAATCGCAGCGGGTGCCGCCGAGGGAAGAGGCACCACTTCCTCACGGGCGCTGCCCTCGAAGCTCTCAGAGCCGCCTCTGGGGACAAAGCGGGCACCGCCGGCCCCCGAACTCACCCGGCCCCCGCACGCCGTCGCTCAGCCCCTTTACGCTTCGGAGCACCGCGCTCGCCGCAACCTGCCGGCCCGCCGCTCCGGCTCCCTGGGCGGCGCGCGGCTGCTCTCCCTGCGGCCGCGAGGCAGCCGGGCTCGGGACGGCTACGAAAGGCCGGGGGGTTTCAGCTGCCCTCGGCAGCGGCGGAGCCGAGCCCCAGAGACCCTCAGCACCAGGGGTTTGCCACGCACCGCCCTCCCCGAGTCATCGCTGAGGGAAACAACGGGACTCTGGGAACACGGAGATTCACAGAGGAGGAAACGCAGAGGGGAGCCGGGGGCTGAGGGGAGCGCTGCTGAGGGGAGCGCGCCGCTTTGCCCGCCCCGCCCGCGCGCCGCTTTGCCCGCGAGGGCACAGAGGTTCCCGGGCGGCAGCCGGCACTCTCCCGCCCCCACGCTCCCCTCCCTCCCCTCCCTCCAACTGTCACGTGCTCCGGGTGCCGCAAAGCAGCGCCGCTTTTGCGACAGGGTGACAGCCAAATGGTGCGACATCCGCGGCGGCAGCAGGAGCAGCAGCCGCGGCGGCCGAGCGCTGCCAGGGCCGAGCGCCGCGACAGGGCGGGGGAGCGCACGGCGGCACCTCACCGCACCGCGGCCCAGCGCCCGGCGCGACCCCCATGAGCGGTAGGGGGGCGGCGGCGGCCCCTCCCGCGTCCCCCTGCCTCAGCGCCGAGCGCTCCCCCCGCCCCCGATGCGCCCTTAGTCCCGGCCCCGGACCCGCCTCCCTCGCTCCCCTCCCCGGCGGCGGCGGCGGCGGCAGCGTCCAGGTGCGGACTTCAAACCCCAGCGCAATGGCGTCCAACGCGGCCGAGAGGGAGATCCTCTTCACCGAGCTGCAGGTAAGCGGCGGGCACCGCCCGAGCCGCGCTCCCCGGCAGGGAGGATGCGGCTGCCGCGCCCCGCCGCCCCCTGCCCGCCGCTCGGCGCGCCGCCGGGCGCCCACCCCGCTGGGCCGGGCCGGGGAGGCGGCGGCGGCGGCGGGGCGGAGGAAGCCCGCGCCCACCCCGGGCCTCTTCCCGCCGCGCTCCCCCGAGAGCGAAGGCGCCGCCGCCCGGTCACGGCCCCACCCCGCCGCCGGCCGCGACCCGCTTTTGTCTGCTGGCGGCTCGCTCCCTCCCTCCTTCTCTCGCTCCTTCCCCCGCGGCCCTCCGGCCCGGCCCGCGCCGCGCCCCCCGCCCTCCCGCGGCCCCGCGGCTGCCGAGCGCCCCCGGCCGCCCGCGGCGGAACGCGTTGCCCGTTCCGGGCACGGCCGAGAAGGGGGGGGGAGTCCCGGGGGCTCCCGCGCAGGTTGGAGCGCGGGGCCGCTCCCCGCAGAACCGGGAGCGGTTTCTTTGTGCGGGCGTTGAGCTCCGGGCCGGGAGGAGGAGAAAATGGTCCCTAAGCGCCTCTGGTCGCACGGCGAGGGTTCTTGTGGCCGCACGACGAGACCCTCGGATCCGATGGCCGGCCGCTTCCAGCTCCGAGTTGGGCCGGCAGTGCCCCGTGCAACTGTTACTTTTCTGCTTGTCAACTGCAGGCGTAGGCAAAATTCAGGCGCTTCGCTACTGTGCTCTTATCTATAAATGTCAGCCCAACCTGCTGGCTCTTCCGCTTCCTTGTCTAAAGAGTGCTTGTTTTCTGTTTTGTTCTGTCCCCTTCTTTTTTTCTTTTTTTTTCTTTTTTTTTTAAATCTGTGAGTTACGGTTTATCTGAAAAAGAATGCATCTCTGGATTTGTTAGTTGGACAATTAACCAAACGAAGAAGTCCATAAATGGAAAGCATTGAATTTCATGTTTGAATAGAAGTGAGAAAGACACGCTTAAAAAAGGAAATATTTATTTCATAAACGCTGAAAAATCCTCTGGTAGATTTAAACGTTCGTGCTCTGCTCACTGCAGTAACAAAGGAAAGGAAGGCACAATGGGGACATAGCGCCCTTCTTGAGACTGCAGCACACGAGATGGCTGAAGGCTAAGGATCCATCCAGAATGCTGAACTTTAATCAGCGGCTCAAAAGTGTCTAGGAAGAATTGCTATGGTAATACAAACTTGATACGATGATATGTAAGCTGGTAAACCTGTTTGAAGTGGTGAGCTGTGTGAATAAGTAACTGTGGTAGCGCTACAGGTAAGCTGTGTGAGGCAGAGCTTCAGTAGGAGTACTGTGAAGGGGTGGGATTCAAGCAGAGGGGCTTTGTTGTGTTGGAGGGAGGGATTTCTTGCTTGGGGGTTGTGGTGTTTGTTTTTATTTCATCTTTTTGGGAAGATGAAATTGACAGTGATGATGGATATTTAATTTTAAAAAAGTAGATCAGATGCTTTGGTTAGGCTGTCTCCCACATTATAGATTGTAACTTTCACAGCAGTAAGTGTAGTCCTGATGCCCAACAGAAAAGTTACAGAGTTAAGGTGGCACTCCCACGAGTGTTTAAGCTTTGTAAAACAGCTAACTTTAGGTATTTTTTCAGAGGAAATTCCACATCAGGTTGTACCACTTTGAAGGCATTGCTTTCTTTTCAGTGGCATATACTGGCAAAAATCTCGATACCCTTTTCCCTGTGAGTTAAAGGCAAATCACTCGTCATATACCTACAAATAAAAGCTACTTCAGTGGCATGTTCCCCAAGAAAGAGGAACTACAGTGAAGTGTGAGCTATGCCATTTTACTCATGTCACATCAAGAGAAAACTTCCTCAAACTAAAGGATACTGACCTCAGAGTTGTTTATGCTTAATCTGGGCTGTTATGTGCATATCACAATTCTGTATGGAAAGGTACGGAAGTTATAAAATGCAAGCCTATGCTAAAAGCTGAGTGCCTCCGGTAAGTGGCTTGATCTAGATCATGAATCGTGAGGTTTAGATGTTTTGATAATGCTCATGAAGACCTACTGAAAGCAGTTAAATAGTGCTAAGACTACGCTTAGTCCTGTCTTTGAATCTCAAGTATCAGTCAGTGATAAAAGTGGTGTATGGCTTATTGATATTGCCCTGTGTGCTTTTGTTGTGATGGCCCCAAGTGCTCTGGTGTGCTGCGTGTGGTTAACTGTGAGGTTGGGATTCATTTAGTGAAAGTGACTCCATCCTCATGAATCAGTGGGACTCTCCTGGCATAAAAATCTGTAGACTTTCCCAACTGCTGACTAACAGGGTGAGAAGTGGGTTTTGGGAAAATAGGAGAAACAAAAGGGCAAAGTCACTAACTGCTGCAAAGAAAGTGATAAAACAGATGTGACATATGCACTTGTTTTGAAGTGAACTCCAATTAATCAAACAGGCCTTAACCAGTCTGATTGCACTTCTTTTCACAATGACTTTTGTGTATGTGTGTATATATATATATATGCACACACATTAAACTTATATACATATAGTCATATAAAAAGTACTTTTTAAAAAAGACTTCATATGTTTCTTAAATGCATTTGCTGGCGAATATCCACATCTGTCCTACTACTGCTGCAAAGCATTTTTTTCCATTCTTGTTATATTACTTCAGCATTTCACAAACAGGGGGAACTATCCCTTGGTTCTAAGCAAGTTTTCGCATAAGTTTGTTCCAGGCAAAAATCATACCACTTATTCCTCAGTAGTCACCAAATGCATATTAGAACATAAATCTGGTGGTAACCGAACATCCTTTTAGTTTGCTTTGTTTAGTGTGGCTGCAACAAGATTTCCTGCTTGCCAAAGACTGACTGAGAGCTCACGTAAAGCCAGCTTACCTTTTTACCTTCTTTTTATCTCCAGTACAGGTTCTTATGTAGGAGGGGGCAGGAGCTTGGGTAAGAACCTGTATTGCTGATGTTGCCTTCCCTTCCAAAATTCTGCTGTCCTTCTCTGAGCTTGCATCCTTTTAGAACTTTGTCCAGCAGGTAAAGTGGCCTCGCAAGTGCTTGCTTTTAGGCTAATTGCAGAGCCTTTAACCATTTGCTTTTTGCTGGAAGTGACAAGAAAAAATGTTATCTTACAATGCAGTCAGCTGTTAAAATAAAGCATCCATGAAATAAAACTTTTTACATTCCATATGAAAAACGCTGTCTTTGCCTTTTCAAAATCACTATTAAAACAACAACAACAACAACAAACAAACAAACATGTTTTTGAGGTAGTGTGCATTTCTAAACATTTGTGCTTTCTTGTGAGTGACAATAGCTGTCAGCATAGTAAACTGGAAAGGCCTAATAGAAGTTATTACTCAGGCCATTTAAATGAAGCCATTGTGTATGTAAAGTGACCATGCTTCTGGGTGTTCCCTACCACTTCTTTTCCAGAGAGTAACATAAATGTTTTCATTTGTAGACTTCTACTGTTAATGTTACAGGATTTATTTTAAGGAAAAAAATTGTTCATTCAAAATTGTGCTTCCAAAGCAATTTCTATTTTATTAAAAAATATATTATTTGTTTTCATTTGCTAAAATTTAACAGTTGAAAGAGTTTTTCAAATGCCATCAAAATTATGTATTTATAAAATTACAAAATATTTGCAAAAAATGTTTCTATACGTGCACTGGTCGGTATGACAGGATTTTTTCTTTCTTCCTCACTGATATCTTCCTTAATGGGCACCGTAGTCGCATTGTGCTCTCAGATGCTGTAGTCAGGAAACTTGTAAATGTGCATTTCACATTAGAGTCATTTTAAAAAGGCCATTGCTAACTGGTTTGTTTAAAGGAGTGATGAACAATACCATGACTGAAATGTATGTAAAGTGAAGTTTATGCTTACTTGATGGCATTTCCTGTATAGTTTTTACTATTTGCTTTATTTTTCCATTTTATATCCGAGATGAGATTATTCATAAAATGAATGTGATTGAAGAATGCTCAGTATTTTGTTATCTGCATGCAACAAATGGGACAACTTTGTTTTCTGTGTAAATGTGCATAAAGCGAGGTGCTTGAACTCACCATGTTGGACTGAGCTACCAGATGCATCTCTGCAGACCTGCATTTCCTTCCTGGCTGCTCTGCTCACTGCCGGGTGACATTAGGCAGACGACTTTGCTTACTCATGTTTCAATTTCCCTGTCCCTAGAATAGAGGTAATGATGCTTGCTTTTTAAGAGATAAAGAGTACTGGGTATTTATTATTAGCTGTGGTCAAGTGCCTAAGGACACTTTAAAAAGGTACAAGTAACCTAATTAATTTGTTTTGAACAGCCATTGTAATTAGGCTGGATATTCAGCCATAAGACTACCTTCAGCTTCTGTTCAGCTAGGACAGATTAGCCTCAAATAATTTTGTATTACTCTTCTTTCTCCTGAACAAGAAAATGTCACATTTCGGTGAAATTACCTTAAGCCATTCTGTTGCGGTTTAGACATGAAAATGTGTGCAGCTGCTTGGACTCCTCAGGTCCCTACAGACACTTCCAGAACTGGTGAATTTAGGGAAGCACTTCAGTTTTTTTCCATTTGTGGGTATATATTACTCTTGAAACAGTACTCTGTTCAAAATTTGTATTAGTAAAATATACATCCTGTCCTCAGTGGAACATAAACAGTCCTTAAAATACCTTAAGGTAGGTGCATAGGTAGGGCTTTTAGTTTTGTTTTGGTTCGTGGGTTTGTTTCCCCCATCTTCTGAATTCTGCCAGTCTGCCTGCTAACAGAAGTCCACACCATATATAAATCCTTGTATACATTTAGCTTAATTTTCTTCATAAGAGCAAAGGTCTTTCTAGGACCCTGGTCTGTTATTTTAACTCAAAATACGTTATTAGTGATGGGTAGTAGAAAAGTAGATTTAGTTACAGTATGCTTAGTAGCTGTGCTGGAAAAGTTGTATACTCTGTGAATGGTCATTCATCATAATGTAACCTAAAATCTATAGTAGAATAACTAGGTAAACATGTC